CATTCAGATGGACTTACACACTTGCTTTACTTCTCTCGGGGATAACTTTGTCGGAGATGAAATGCCAGGTTGCTAGCGAAGCTCCAAATGCTATCCAGACCACCGACAGGTCCTGCATGCCACAGCTGCTCTATCACGGGATGCATACTGCTCCGACGTTCTGAGGCGAGTTACGGCGTGTTGCAAGTTTTGTGAGGTGCTTTCGTGATATTTAATGGATCGGATTACATTTTTTATTTTTCTCCGATATCCGATCCAGTAATTTAGGTCAGTATCGGACCGATACCGATACGTAATATCGGATCGGTCCATCTCTAGTTCCGGGTATTATTTTTCTACTACAAATAAACAATCTCCAGCAATTTAATATTCAGGCTTGAGCACAAAGCAGCGAGAAGCAGTCTCACAAACAATAAATGAAAAAGCACATGAGTACAATACCTGGACCCTCAGCTGATATCGACAGAGTCTGCAGCGAGAGCAGCAGCAGGACATGGACACTGCAACGACCCATGTTTCAGTGCACTAAGAGTGGGGAGAAGATGCAAGATGAGCCAGAGAGTTCAGAGGAGTACACTCATGATTACATTTAGCCTCTTTATGTTATCTGACGAGCCTCATAAGGCTCCATACAGAAATGAAACAACAAATTATAAAGGCTGAATGAGTTCAGTTTGTCTTAGAAACCATTACTTAGTATACATTAGTGCAATGGATTAAACAGAAGCCTTTTTAAAAAGACAGTCACCATGAATTACTTCCAAATGTATAAATGTCTTCACCTGAACATAATATAATCGTGTGGTTTGTTCTTAAGTGGTTGACTAATAGACTAATTGCTTTATATGTAAGACTTGATGTACTATAACTGTTCCTCCGCAGGCTAGCATGCACAAACATACACTAAAGTCAGCCTCTGGTTTTGACCTAACATTCAGAAACAACCAAAGCTATCAGCAAATCCTTCTTTAAAAGGAAAAAAAAGATAGGGGACCTAGTTGTTTGCTGTGGCCATTAACAGGCGACCTCATTGGCCGCTCACAGGCGCCCCGGAGGCGCCAGGATGCCTGGTGCTGCTGCCCTGTAAACTAAGCTAAGCTAAGCTAAATTAAGCTAGCCACACAGCACAAAGCGCAGACTTACAGCCGAACGAGGACAGCCAAAACAGAGCATTAAAACAACACCCACCTACCTGGCGCACACGCAGCGCAGTTTCTAACTCATGCTGTTAAGCCTGCACATTCGTACACGAGTATTAAATAATCGTATCGGCGTGATTTTCGATGTAAAACCACTAAAAGAAGGGACCACTGCCCAGCCCACCCACTGGCTGTTTTCGCTTCCAGCTACACTTGACGTCACCAAAACATTAACATCAAGTTGCATTGTGGGGCAGAGAAGTCCGCCAACTTAAAATCAGTGTAACGCCAGTGATATTAATGTGTATTTGAAGTGTTAATAACGTCAGCCATTATTATATGATAATTAAATGAGAAGAGACTATTGTTTGTTAACCTCTGTGGTCAGTAAATGCTGCTCAATGGGTCCTAGGCTGCAATCATTACACGTTTGTGTAAGCACTTATTGAATTTAAGTGCATTTTTTTTAGCATTATGCTGGTTTCTAATAGTGAAAGATTCGCTTTTTACTTCACAACATACCCTTGTTAATTCTCATATCATTGTTTAAAATATTATATATGTATTGTTATAGATTAAATGACACAAAGATGCATTGAGCTATTAAAGTTGGTCCCACGGTGACCAGCTACAGTATTAAACCTGCTTAAATCCTCTTACATTGATAAAAAAGAAATCCAGCAGTGATAATTTTACACTGAAAGAGTGTGCATTGTATTAAATCACTTATTTACGTAAGCTGAATTTCAATAAATACATTTTTAAAAGGTCACATATGCATCTATATCAAATCTGGATCAAATCCGGATACCAGACAGCTGATTTTTGGCCTTATAAAGAAGGCATTTCAACATCTCTTTCTCTATCAACGGGCCAGTTGTTGAGAGGCTACATGTGCCTATACAAGTCGTCATCATGGGACTTAAACACTGTTTCACATTGTTAGTAAAGCGCACCTGGGGCTCTATTTCCTCCAACCAAGGAAATACAGGGTTAGTTGGGAAAGTATAATTCATTTGTATAGAACTGTTATGGATTAATTTCTCCATCCTGACTTGGTATAGTAACACAATCAATCAGGGCAAACAATTGCTTGAAAAAGTAGTAAGTAGAGCCTTCAAGGTCATTGGTTGAGGTCTATCTTCCATAGCTTCACACTATGGCACCAGAATCACCAGGAAGGCTGGAAGCATCATCACTGACCCCTCCAACCCTGTACATCACCTATTCAATCTTCCTATATCAGATTGTAATCAAAAAATCTGAAACCATCGAAACCTATATTTATGTATCATGTCATCATATTCAAGTTAAAGACACTGGCAAATATCTGTTTTTGTCTCGCTTGAGTAGACTAAATTTAGACTTAGTAGAGGACTAGTGTCAGAGCACAGGCTTTCCAAATACGAACTATGACTCACAGCAACAACCCAGAGGAGAAGTTATGAACTCACCTTTAATTTTAGTTCAAAAAAAAAAATCTTACAGTTCGCTTATACTTTGGTCTGTGTGGGGGAGACTTTCTTGCTATTATTACAGCTGTTATTGCTGCTATTATACACAGACATTTAGAAACAAGACTAAAAATAACCAGTGACTTCCATTAGGAGCAGTATTCAGACATGATGCAATCTTTGTTTCCCAGTTAAGAAATTTGTGTAAAAACTGCTGATTATTTTATTTGATAAAAGTTGGTGAACTTCACATTACAACTAAAGACACTGTTATTTTCTGGGGAAAAGTTGGCAATGACTACATTTAGATGAGTTTGATTCTCTTTAATTATGAACCAATTATCAAATGATTTGCTGCCTAATTATTCAGAGTGATACACTGCAATAAGGTCAGGTCTAACTTCTTGCTGTGACACACTTTTTATGCATGTCAGGGTTTTTGTTTCTGTACCTCTTTAAAACTGATGAAGAAATGCTTCTTAATTAAGATTCAGTAGTGATCCATCCAGGTGGGTCACATTTCTATTTCAGTTTTAAGACATCTGTCTCCTGCAACTCCTGCATGTAGTACAGAGCAGGTCACATTCCTCCTGAATGTGCTGAGCAAGATATTGACCTCAAAATTGCTATTGTTCTCAATTGCAAGGCAAATATCATTCCATCTCTAGTAATTATTTTGGCAATGCAGCTTTGATGTGGAAAGGCAAAAGCGGGACGAGGAGCAGCAAGACTCCCTCTTGGAACAGCAGAGACAACAAACATTAAATTAAGTATGAATGGAGCAGCTGGTGTGGAGGTGTGTTGCAAAACGACTTGCAGATTGCAGAGGTCCATCTAAACAGGTTATCAGGCTTTATGCAGGCAGAAGCAACATAAATAACATGTCCTGTATAAGATTTGCCACAGGCATCGGCTGAGCCTTCAGCAGGTGTTAAGGTCACCTGATCTGCCAGGTTTCTGTTGGCTGAACTTGACTCAGTAGAGCCATTGCTACGCTAGCATTAGCCTTAGAGAGCATTTTGAATTGATCTGTCTTTTTGCCTATGTTTTCATGCTGTCTTCATCCTCCAAGGAATAAAACATTTACAGTGATGGTGGTCAATGGTGGTTTTAAAACGCGTCTTAAAACCCATTTTTACTCCTTGGCATATGACACTGTATGACCCTGATTTCATTGGTTTTATTGTTTTTAATCTATTGTGCTCATTTTATTGTTTTTAATTCTAATGATCATTTTAGACTTTTTTTTGTGCTATTTGTGCTTATTTTTTTATTTTAAGTTTTTATTTATTTTATTTATTTATTTTGGGTAAATCTTTTTTTTTCTTTTTTTCTTTTTTTTACTTAGTCATGTATCATTTTTGGCATGCCAAGTGTACAGCACTTTGTGTTCAGCTGTGTTGTTCCGAAAGTGCTATACAAATAAATTGCTTGCTTGCAAGGTAAATAAATTAATAGAAAAAAGGAAAAATAGCACAGTTATTGATATGAACCAAATGATTAAAGATAAAGATCTGAATGTTTCAGAAGTTCATCTAAACAGGTTCTTTTGGGAAAATCCTATTTTCTCTCACTAATTTCTCAAAGCTCCACATTTAATCACCAGTATTATGTGAGTGCTAGACTTCAAAAGTCCTTCTGTGCTCCCTGTCCCTTCACTGAAGTGTGCAGAAGATCAGATCTCCCAACTTTCCTCTTCCTGAAAAGTTTCAGGAAAACCAACAGGACTCTTCGTGCCCTGAGCTCTCATGCAGATCTATTATTACATAATACTGCACCTAAAATATGGACTCAATGATATATTAATTTCACTTTTCACCTCTGAAGACTCCTTCAATTATTGATTGGCACAGTAGATGTCAAGAAAAATGGCAGTGAGTTTCTGTGCGTGTGTGTTTGTGTGTACGCGTGTGGATGTGTTATTATGTGTGTGCAGAGCAGAGAGCGAAAAGGAGAATTGTATCAAGTATCCAATACGTTTTCCCTCCACAGGGTCCGTTGACCATGAACAATGGCCAGTGCTGTTTGTTCCTGCTTACCTGAGGCTTAGGTCTCCAGTGAGTCAGCGCAAGACCCAGCCAGTATCTATTCTCCAGGAACAGAGTTCCAGCACAGAGACACATTATCCGCAGCTTTCTTTAATTAAAGACCCCCGGTCGACACTCTGTGCCAGGTGACCTGAACTGCTCCGAGCCTGCATGTTTCTACCACTATCCTCTCCACTAGGGATAAGTCTCAGTGGATAATTAGAGAGGGAAATGCTATACTGCTGTCATGAGATAGAGGAAGGATTATCTACTAGGACTTTCAACTGAAGAGGCGGGGAAAGAGGAATAATGTGATGGTTTCTTCTACAGTCAGCCTACCTATCTCTTTCTCTTACCTTTCACCCTCTCTCTTCCTAAGACCAAATAATAAGCGAGGGAAGGGACACACAAGTGACTTTTCTTAATGTATTCCACCTGTTTCTCATCTCAGCTGTGTTAGCGAGTTAGTCCCAAGAAGGTTTCCATCCAGAGCTGACATGGAGTATCTAGGGAGAAGACTGCTTTCAGCGTTCCTGCTTTTTCTGCCTCTTCTGTATGTCAGATGTCTCTCCAATCAAAAAACTACAGGTATCAATTTAATACTGTTGGATAGTCAGATTAACCTCCTAAGACCCGAACTCTTCCATGGCATGCATTTTTAATTTCTCTTTGCTATTTGGGCTGATTTGGACCTGATGAATGTAAAAACAAAGAATTACGTGATTTTTTTTTTTTACCTTATTTTTGTTTCTGAGAAAAATGAGATTCACATATGAGGACATTCACATTAAATTTCGATAGAACAGTGGCAGTGTAACGTTCTCGTAAGTGGATATCAGGCCCTTGTAGAGCAAAATTTGGTACTTTGGTCTAGACAACCCAAAATATGTAGTCAACATATGTGGACACCAGGTCCTAGGAGGTTAATGCTAAACACATCAGTGATCAAATCCTGCTTGTTTGTATATTTAAAGGGAGGCTTTAGTGGCAGAACTGCATGAGTTGTGGAATTTGAGGTCTAACTGTTTAAAGTTTGCACATATGTAATTTGCAACTTGTCCCTACTGTGTTTGAAAAGTCTCCTGGTGTGTGCTGTCTGATGCTGAGGAGCAGAAGTGTCTGGATTTGGCCGGAAATGCTACAGCCCGAAATGTAAAAGGAACACTGCAGTGTGTCCGTGGCTTAAACACCAGGGACTGTATGGAAAAAATCAAGGTACACAAGAAACAACTGATGGGGAAAGTAGATTCTTACCAAAAACTGTCGTACATTTCATTTCATTTATTTTATTAATTTTTATATCAGCTCTGTCAGATGCATGGCAGTTGAAATTTCTTAACATTAATAGGAACTGTTATATCTAAAAAGTGACTACAAAAGAAAATAAAAAGTATCTGTGAGACATAAAATGGGAAATATAAAAATATGAAAATATATTTTGCTCAGAATGGAACTGCAGATGCAGCCTCCATGTTTGGAGATGACATCTATGCTGCTGGTTTCTGCCATGGCCTGGAGCTTGCTGCAGGAGAGTCCTACAATGGTGTAGGTAAGTCACATGTTTAAGGTCTGCAGCAGGTGACACAGGAAGGCACTGAAGTCTCTGCAGCTTATGCCAAAATGCAGATACTGTTCACACAAAATACTTTCTTGCACCCACTGCTTAATCCCAATTTTAAAATTGATTCCTTTTATTTATTTTTCATTTTTGGTCTCTTCTGTAGATGGTATCAGCTACTATGTGGTGGCAATGGCGCGCCGCTCCTCCTCAGACCTGTCCCTGCTCGAGATGCATGAGCGCAGCTCTTGTCACCCCGGCATTCGAACCACAGTGGGGTGGACTGTTCCCATTGGCTATTTGGTCAACACATCCCAAATCAGTGTAGGAGAGCAGTGCAACTTCCCGAGAGGTGAGTCAGAGGGGACAGGGGTGATATAAGTGTAGATGTGTTTTGGTGGAAGGTGTATGAAATGTTCAATGCAAGGAGGGGAAATCGGGAAAGCAGTGAAGGGGAACAAAGAGGTGAAGAAATGAGGCAGGCTGGAGATGCAAGGAGAGGAGACAGTCACACAACAGTGCTTCTTTCTGTAAATGTGAGGTGGATAAGGGGATAAAAGGGGAAACACAATAAAAAATCAGAAGGAAGGATAAACAGGAAAAATGCTGTCTCTTAAAGTTTATTATTATGGTGCTCTGGACACATGGTTCCCAACCATCAAGAATTTAGTGTGGTCTTTTTTTCTATAAAAATCCAGCATCCAAATCTTAAAATACATTTTTGGCTGAGCATAACTTGCACGTGTGGTCCCAAACAGTGAAGAGGCTCATACTTATTTAATTTTAAATCAGTAGGTAAATTTAAACTGCACAAAAAAAAGATAAATCTGACTTTTAAAGTCTTGTGATATTGATAGCAAACTATAAAATTCAACAGTGGGAAGATGAAAAAGAAAGACAAGTGGACCTGAGTTATTTACTTTGACAGGGAACCTTTATGGTCATTTCCAGTACTATATTTTTATTCTTGGACTCTCTTAACTCTTGGAATTGAGTAGTTGGGCATGACTCACAGTTCACCCTGTCTGAGATTTCTTCTGTGATCACAGTAGTGTGAGCTTAAGATGACCACAATAAGGATATCCCCTCTCAATTACATCATACTAACTGAGTTTAGAGCGTTCTGTAGCCTTGTACAGTCCATATGCTGACCATGCAATAGTTTATAAACAGGACAAAAACCTTAAGCATGAAAGTGCAGAAGACTTTTCAAGTGTTCTTTGGTGTCTGTGTCTTTTTATTGTTAGTGGTGGGGAACTTCTTCGGCTATAGCTGCGTGCCAGGCATTAAGGATCCCCAGCACGATCCCAGAGGCAACAATCCAAAGAACCTCTGCGAGGCCTGTATAGGAGACGAGAACGACAGACACATCTGTGCCAACAACCACAGAGAGCGGCATTACGGAGAATCTGGAGCTCTGAGGTACACTGACATTAGTAACATGGGAAATAATACAACAACAGCACCCAGAGGTGAAGTAGATGTTATGACTGCTGCCTTTGTGTCTGCCCTCAATTTATATCCATCCCAGCGTGCTGCCTCCATAAAGAAAATAATAGTGGAACTCTAGTGTATGCCTTATCTGAAGGTATGCAGTAGAGATAATAACAATACAGTGACAAATTACTGTGTGTATATATAGTGAACAGATGGAACACACAACCAGATTAAAATAAGAGAACAGAAAATAATAAATCTAACAGTTCCTGTGATTGTGTCGCATAATTTGTTTAGAAAATCATGTATGTATTAAAATATAAATATATAATACTGTTTGTGCTGTGCAGTACTGCCGTCTGTGCAGAACAGTCTTTGGCACAGTACTGAATGTACTTCAGAGGGGAACAAAAGAACTACAGGGGGTGATTTCTTAAAGTGCCACAGTAAGTGGCAGAGGGAGTTTACTCATGGTCTCCAGAGTGTGTTAACAGTAGCACACTGGCAACTGTGCTGATTTCATTCATATTTCAATCTGTTTATAGACTGAATGTGTCTTGCTGTTTGTGTGTTTTCGTTCAGGTGCGTGGCTGAGAACCTCGGCGACGTGGCTTTTGTCAAACACGCAACAGTCTTTGACAATTTGGATGGTCAGTGTGCAAAATATTGTTTATTTTAGAGACTATGATAGTCGTTGTTGTGTGATATAATTTTTATAATGTCTCAATTTGTGATTACATTGCTTGGAATATGCAGAGGGTGCAACTCCCTGTCAAGACATAGGATGTCAGTGTTTCATAACCCATTTGTGCTTTTTACAGAAAGTGGAATACAGTGATTGGATTGCACTGTAATTATGATGTCATATGATAATATGTGGGAATGTGAGGCGGAGAGAAAAGTAAGCAATCTGAAAACAAGAGAAGATAAGAGCGAGAATGAAAAAGAAACAGATATCACACACAAACGCACACACAGGATAGTCACAGAGTTGCAGACATTTTGTCCAGCAGTGAAGTGCCCTAATTCTCTGTTTGCTGCATCTGCTCCTCTGCTTTGGGCAACATCCAAAATTAATGGCGATCATTATCGCCGTCACGCTACACAGGCTCTGCTGGTATAGCCGAGAAGGAGCAGTTTGACGCCAGCTCCACAAAATGCTGTCGCTGCTTAACGAAGCATGTTTTATCATATGGTTCAGAAATGTCCAGAGTCAGAACGATTAACAGAGGTCAGGAAAACACAGAAGGTCTGGGCTGTTGTCTGGGAATGCTGTAGGCTTCAAGGTGGTTTACCCTTTTTTCACACAGTTGTTTGTTTTGTTAAACGGGGTTTCGTTTCCCTTTTTAAAATTCTCAGGGGACCGAGCAAATCTGACAAAAACAGCATATAAAATATTGGTAAATTAGTCATAAATCAGGATTGCACTGTTTGATAAATGTGTCATCATAAACAAATTAATGAATGCACAAAAGAAAATGAAAAACTAAAGTAGTTCTTAGTTAATATAAATAGCTTATTCAGAGTATGAGGAATAATCACATACTAAACATTACAGCTTTCAAATGGTTTTAGATAAGGAGGTCAATGCATATGATGTTACTTTCCTTAGACTTAACTCAGAGGGAGACCGTGCAATTATATGGACAACTATGTCTTGGTATACTTACTGTAAACTTTTTTTAAATATTACTTTCGTGGCATTTTAGCCTTTATTGGACAGAGACAGTGTAGACAGACAGAGAGGGAAAGACATGCAGCAAAGGGCTGCAGGTCAGACTCGAACTCAGGCTGCTACTTTCTTTCACATGCTCGCCTGCTCACCCACTGAGCTAAATTGGCAACCCACAACTTACTGTAATCTTATCATCATGATGAGGACCCAGGATATCTCTACAGCTGGCCAAGAAATACACTAGTTTCTCTAAACCACAGTAAAACCATGTTAAAGAAAGTGCATATTCATTACTGGCTTTTAGAGGCGTTGGCATGTGGACTTTGCTCTGTGATAGTCAGAGATACCTAATCCCTTAATAGTCAGGCTAACTGTTTGCAGTCTTAATGTAGCTGAGCTTTACATTTAACAGACAGATTGGTTCCAGTTGTCTTATGTAACGCTGTGAAAGAAATCAAATGTGCATTTCCCATAATCCCAATCTCCTGTTTATACATCTCCTCTCTTGCCCAGGTAAGAACCAAGAGTCCTGGGCCCTGGATCTGGAGGTGGAGGACCTGAAGCTGCTGTGTCCTGATGGAACGGATGCCGGTCTGGAGGAGTATGAACAATGCCACATTGCCGCAGTCCCTGCCAACGCTGTGGTGGTGCGTATGGAGGACAAGTGCCGTGTCTGGAAGTACCTGGAACGCTTACAGGTGGGTGTGGACATAAGCTGCATGTGCTTTGCTTTTGTGTGTGTGAGAGTGTGTGTGTGTGTATGCACGTTTTTCCACAGAGCTGTGTGTGGATCTCTGGAGCCTGTGCTATTTATCTGCACATCTTAGTACGCAGGTATCTGCTAAACTGTCACCCTTCCTCCGTACTCAGTGTGTGGGAGACTCCAGGATGATTGATACGTCCTGTGCTGATCCGCCCAGCCTGCACTTACAATCTGAAAGACACTTATGTACACAGAACGCCAACGCACATCCATGCATGCCCTCATGCATTAAGCGCAGTCACACACTTCCTCTCTCCTGCAGAATGTGTTTGGCAATGCCACGGAGGGCTTCAGCCTGTTCAGCTCAGCAGGCTATGGCCAATCCGATCTGCTGTTCAGTGATGCCACCCACCACCTGCAGAGAGTTCTGGGTAGCTACTCCTCTTGGCTGGGCCCCACTTATACCACTGTGCTGCAAGCCTTCGAGTGTGAGGGTAAGAGTGATGACGTGTGCCTATTTGCCTGTGTGTAAAAATGTGTTTATGTGGAATTGCTGATGAAGAGTGGGTGGCTAAGTGGCTGGAGGAGTGTTTTTTGCTTTGTGTGTGTGTGTATCTGTGAGCGCATCCACTGCAGCTGTTCTCATTATTGCACTCTCCCACCACCAGGCTTCTGCTGATGGAAGAGGAGGAAGACATCCAGCACATCATCTTCCACCCCATCCCGCTTTCTCCATCCTCCCTCCCTGCCATCTGTGTCCCCCGTCTCACCATATTTTCTTCTTTTAGCTTTGCTTTATTAATGTTTTTTCCCCCCTGCATTTCACCACCCAATCTTTAATATTATATCCTTGCCCTCCTCCAAACTTTTATGACTTTTAATATGCTTGCTGGCAGGTTATGACAAGGTTAAAGAGTGGCTAGTTGGCTGTTAAAACATAACTAAAATTGAACATGTTTTTTAAAGGGCGCTGGGGGGGAAAGTGTAGAAAAGAAAGGGATAGGACAAAAAAGTTAATGATTGTTGTGGTTTTTCTTTTGTGTTTGATTAACACATACCAAAAAAAATCTCTTAACATTTGCTGCCCTGTATATTTGTTGGGAAACTGCAGCCTTCTTGGCTTGTTTCATTAGACTAAGCTTCGGTACCACCCTTCCACCTCACTCCCACAGGGTCTGTCTCTGGCACTGAACAACTGGGTGCTATTAACTTTTTGCTTAGAAGTCTCAGTTACTGTATGTGTGTGTGTGTGTGTGTGTGTGTGTGTGTGTGTGTGTGTGTGTGTGTGTGTGTGTGTGTGTGTGTGCGCACCTAATTGGTGCTCTGGCATACTATACTGTTTGTGCATGTGTGTGAGTGCATATGTGCGTTAGTGTTGATAGCATTCCTGCTTTCCCATGCCTTGTATAGCTTACTCCTTTGGATCACTGCTTTCTCACGTCCGGTATGGTGATCCAGGCTGTGTCACCTCACAGTGTATTTTAACACCTTATGATTAGAAAAGGGGGAGGACTTAAAGTTGAGTTGCCTTCAATGACCCTTGAGGGAGTCTTAAAAAAATGATAATTTTCTCATCTGTGACAACATTTGCGTCACCCAGATTCCTCAAGATTTGCAGCCTCTCCCACACTGCTGTCTTTATACACATGTGGGGGGTTTTCCTATAATATGTCATTTATAATTTAACATTACCACCAGTAGTGAGATGATGATAATGATAATGTGTAAGAGTTACTAACAGCAGGATGTTTAATTAGTCAGTTTTGAATTTAATCTTATTAAAAAACTGTCCTGGGGAATTACTAAAGAAATTGCAACTGCAATTGACAAAAAGAAAAACAAAACAGCATCTATAAGCATTTATAAGGCTCTATAATTAAAGAGACGCAACCAGTTTGACCTTACTTGACCTACTGAATCGTGTACTGTAATTGTGGGCTTTTCACCTCATGTCCACCTCATGTTATTCCACATAGCGCATCACTGAGCTTGGCAATCAACTGATAAGCCGGATGAAGTTCTCCTCATCAAACTGTGGTCTTTAGACCTCGTCATGCATGAAGAATCCACAGCTGGTACAACAGATAATTTGCAGAAATTTGGCGGCAGATTTTTTTGTGTGTGCATTTCTGTTGTATTTCTTCAACTCTGGTTTTGGTGCTGTTTGTTGCTACTTTTGTCCAGGCTTGATGTAAATACTCGTCTCTTCGTGAATGTGTAGTGCTGCAAACCTTCTTTATTTTCAACCAATTAAACGAATGATGATAAAGAGAATAATCCTCTCTTCTTTTCACGCTGGCTTCTAATTATCCCGAAACAGCTATATATCTGTGTGGAAATGAATTAGATTTGATATCAGCTCTTTTGCTTCATCACCCACTCTCTGGCTGCCTCTTGCACACACATTTACTCAAAAATAGTCACTTTGCTCCCTCTCAGTCATTTGGAGAGGGACACAAGAGGATGAAAAGAAGCAGAAAAGCACAAAGGCTCAGGTGTTCACTCGGTTAGCGAGAAGCACCTCCCAGGTGGACAGGTGAATCAGAGACACACTATCTTCATAGGTGGTCTACATGTGCAAACAGAGCTCCATTCAGGGTAGGCTAAATGCTCCTGCTGGCAAAGCTACCAGATTTACAACACCAGCGGCTTAGAGAAAGCCCATGTTTTTGATGGAGCAGTATCATTTAGAAGTGAGCAGATACTGTAGATTGAACTGCATTGCAGCAGAGTGCTACAATCATTCTCAATCCTCAGCTCTCTTGCTGGCCATTTTGCTGCAATGCACAAATAAAAACAACTAATTCAATTCAGTCCTCTGAAACTTGAGTGTGAGTATATAAGAGAAGGGAGCGTGTCAGTGCAAGTGTTGGAAAGTGATAATTAGTCATTTAGAAATGGAGTTTTTTTGCACGTATACCAAGGCATACTATAGCTGTTTGCATCTATATTTGTGTACTGGTGTGTTTGCATTGCTTTGCTAACATAAGAGAAACTTTTGCTGGATTTATTGTCTTGCTTTGGCTTTGTGTGTGTCTTTGATTACAAAGAGAGAGGGATTATGGGAATTCTACCTACACAGAGGCACATCTAGAAAGACCATTACACCTCCAATAAGATTATTGGACTATCTAACAAGAAGCCTTATGTATAACCAGAGGTCCAGATAGCAGGAGATCTTAAGCATTTAGATGTTATTTTGTGCAGTAGCCCAAAAAGGTCAACAGCAGTTGTGCATGGGCTGAGTGATGAATGTGTATAAAAAGATGCTTGAACAGGAAAAGAAGCGAAAAGTTCACACACAAAAGAACACATAGCGAGCACAAACATTGGCTCCAGTGTGCAGATGTCATTGTTTTTAACACTTTACTACAAAGACGTGTATTATGTAGTTTGTCTATTATGACTGGATTGAGGGTTTGCAGACACATTAACACTTACCATGTGGCATTTGTGTGTCCAACACTTTGAATCTGTGATAATTAATCCTGATAACAAAGTATCAAGAAAACAAGGCACCAGATACATGTGCTTACAGGCCAATCCATAACCATCTGGCAATGACCAAGTGAGGTATTCCCCAGTTGGCAAGTGATTGCTGGAAGTTGACAGCGGTCACCAGAAAATCAGTTGCTAAAGCCCCAGTCATACTGGCCTAGAGACCAATATGTGACACACTGGCAACCATGAGTCACAAGTGGAAAATGTGTATTCCCTGACAGTCTGGCAAAAAACTCCTTGATTTGATTGCCAGCAGATTGTATGTGATCACCTGTAGTTTGCATGGAGCGTGAAGACTTGTCAACAAGCACTCACAAGCTACTTCAGAGAATTACTGAAACTGGGAAATGTGCAGCACAAACTCAGAAAGTCAGAGAAGACCCACCAAACCCCAAATTCATGATCCAAGATAGCAGAAGTGCACACAAACAGTAGTAAAACTGTAAAGTTTTTAATGTGTGTGCACTACTGCGTATTTCTAAGTCGCTAAATAAGTGATATGCAGCACACTGACAAGCTCCTATCCATGAACATGCTGCAGAGGCAAAATGAGTAAAGAGCACATTTAACATAGGAAAAATCCTGGCTATTGCATTAACATTGTGAAGAAGCTAGATAAAATGAAAGCTTAATAAATTTAATTTCGGTTACTGTACATTCATCAAACTACTGTGTTTACACCTCAGCAAAGTTGTGGTCTGTCGCTGCAAGTGGTAAGATTTCTGTGAAGGTGTATGTCAGGCCACAGGCTGTAGCTGTAACACAACTATAAATCAGCCTGAACACTTTGGAGCCATTTATAAAAGAACCACTTCAGTTGCTAATGTTATTTTGCTAGCCTTAGCTAACAATACTCGCAGTTTAAACTTTTAATGTAAATGAAACCTCTGGATGATTTTCCTATTGTTTTTAATACAATAATGCCTACAAAAGTTGTGTTTAGTGTCATCTTGCGTGTTTGTGGGTGTCTTCATCTGCGCTGACACGGGTGATGGCGCGAATGGTTTGACCGGAGGTTGCCAGGCGAGAGCGCCAAAGATGAAGGGGATGACAGTGATGGAGGGGGAGAGGGGAGAGGAGTGACAGGTAATCCATCAGAGGCGTTACTGTCATTATTCAATTACCACCCATCCTTAGCACTCTTGATAACCCTAAAACACACACACAGGCTACAAGTGTGTGCATGCAGTTGGAAGCTGCAATGGGTTAGCAGATCCTCTTACACACAGTGGGTTTGTGCTGTGTGGGTGGTGAGGTGAGTCGGGACACAGAACTTGGCACTAGTTCTTTATATGCTTTTAGTGCAGTAGACCCTTAAATCTCCACCTCTTCCTCTCTAATGTCCTCTATTCCCTTCTCACAGCTCTCATCGCTCACGTTTTTCTCCCCTCACCTCTCTTTATCGACCTCACCCTCAACCTAACCCTCTTGCTCCTCACTTCTCCGTCTCCATTCCATAGTTCCCACCATACCCCCCGCCTCCTCCTCCTCTTCCGCCTATCTCTCTCCTCTGTTCCGTCTCCTGAGCCCAGAGCTGATAAGGAACACAGAGTATGATTAGACGCCAGTGACACCAGGCTTATCGTTCTGCTTCCACAATGCTCCCAAGATCACTTGCCCAATAACAGCCAAGCATGGCAAGCATGAACACACACATGCACACACACATGTTGCATCCATAATACGGCCCAAACTGGGTGAAAAATGACCACAAGCAGCAGATTGTTTAAATGTGAAGTGGTGGGGAGGAGGACGTTTATGCAGCGTAGTGTGCATAGGTGTATAGAGCGTGACAGAAGATGCACGCTCAGGGTTTTAAATTTAAAACACTAGATGGCACTGTCCACTCAGCAGTGTTCGTGTATTCATTAATGCTTTTTCCAATAAAACCATTATAATGCTAGAGGGCATACACATTACTGACGCTCCTCAGGGTGTTTCAGCATCCTCTCTTTTCCAGTTTTCCTCTCACTTTCCTCTTCTCATTTCATTTTCATTTTCTCCTTTCTTTCGCATTTACACTTCTGTTTTTTTGCTCTCTTCTGTCCTTGTGTCTACCTTTCTGTTTGCCCTTTTTCTTCCCTGTGTCCAATCCCTTTCTCTTTTCTCCTCTCTGATGTTCTACTCATCAGTTTTTGTTTTCGTGTCTTGTGTCCTCTATTTCTTGCCATCTTTCCTCTCTCCCCTTCTTCTAAATCTTCCCTGCACCCCCAAATTTCCTTCCCACACTTACCTCTGCTCCACCTTAGTCTCTTCTCTCTCATCTCTTTTCTCCTTCACCCTTCCTTTTCTGTCATGTTTTTTCACTTCCCCCCTCTGTTTCTAATTTACCCTTTTTCTTTAATTGTTTCACCTCCTTCCTTTCCCCCTTTTCTTCTTCTCCTCCTCTTCTTTCATATATTCTTCTTTTCTGGCACTTCCTCTTCTCTGCCCTTTTTTCTCTTCTTCTCCACTCACACACTTTTTCACTCTCCTCTCTCGTCCATGGGGCAGTAGCTCTGTAATGTTGTTAGGACATGCTCTCATTAATAACCTACACTTTGAGAGTCTTTGCTAGTGGAGCGTGAATCTCCCGTTCGTTTGGGGACGAATAGAGGGTGTTTCACCGTGTGTGCGTGTGTGTGTGTGAGCATAAAAGAGAGAGAGAAGACAGACAACGAGAGAAAAGCCAATGGGTGAGTGTAATGCACAAAAAGCATGTTGTTTCCTCACATTGTTTAATGGTGCTCGATCAGCTTGCAGTCTGCTGGTCCAGTATGTTTTATGTGTGTGCGTACTGTAGGTGGGCGTGTGGAACCGTGCCAGACGTCCTTGAGTCTGACCCTGTTAAGGAACCTTGCCTTTGGGCATCCCATGGCTCAGTGCTCATTACTGCCATAGTCGCACGCATGCACGTACACCTTTTCAAGCTCAACCACATGCCAATTGATCGACTCGGGAGCCAACACCCACCTCCAATTACAGGTAAATTTACAGGTCTGTTCTTCAAGGTGTGTGTGTGTGCATGCACACTACAGTATATTCACTACATTATAAATTCTAGGTGAAAGACTAATTTGTGACCAGCCCTTTCTCAAACCGCATTACGAAAAGTGTTTTTTAAGTGTCACCATTAAGCGTGAAAGTTAAGGTAATGGCGGAACTCAGGCAATTAGCGGTGACAGGAGAAGTTAAAGCAAGTTAGAGAGTGAGTTTGAGTCAAACACAAGTATAACAAGGATGTGTGAAGGTGTGTTTGCGTGCCGTACGTGCGAGTGTGTGTTAGATTTATGTTCCGCATGCCTGTTCCTGTTCCTGCTCTCCATAACGAGCCGACAGGTGTACGAGCCAGCAGGCTGGACACTGACTGATGCAGCACTAATGCTCACAAACTCCTCTCTCCCGCCCCTCACCACCTCTCCCACCACACACACACACACACGCACATGAATAACATACTGTACAATAGGTGTTGTCTTACCTCAGCAGTACACTGAGCTTTGGCAGAGAGGCAAAAAGAGAGAGGAGTGATTAAATAGTCTAGTTAGTCCACAGAGTGGTTGAGAACATTAAGAGCTTGGCCATTCATCAGAATAACACACACAAAACACTACATATACACGCACCCACTCATATTGATTGTACAAGTTAAAAATGTCTCTGCTTGGTGAACCAGTGAATTCTCATAGGAAAACAGCACTCAGACACAGAGACACACACGCAAAATCCCCCCCAAAACTCACATATGCACATCCGCACACACACACTTACTTCCTGTCTCTCTAAAAC